GTAGTATGGCCATTTTCACTATGTTGATTCTTCCTACCCAGGAGCAGGGGATATCTTTCCATTTTTTTATATCCTCTTTGATTTCTTTTTTCAGAGTGCTGTAGTTTTCAGTGTAGAGATCTTTTGTTTCTTTTGTTAGATTGATTCCTAGATACTTCATTTTTTTGGATGCTATTGTAAAAGGAATTTTTTCCCTTATTTCTCTTTCTGTCTGTCTGTTATTTGTGTATAGAAAGGCTATTGATTTTTGGGTATTCACCTTGTATCCAGATACTTTACTGAATCTGTCAATTAAGTCTAGAAGTTTTTTGGTGGAGTTTTTTGGATCTTCAATGTAGAGTATCATCGGAGCCCCTTCTTGATCCAGCCTGCCTGGGGCCAATTGGTGAGGACTGGGTAGCCACGCCCTCTCTCCGTGTGCACCAACACCAGCATCCAGTGGAAGATGGAGCGGAGGTCTGGGTTCTGTCAATTAAGTCTAGAAGTTTTTTGGTGGAGTTTTTTGGATCTTCAATGTAGAGTATCATCGGAGCCCCTTCTTGATCCAGCCTGCCTGGGGCCAATTGGTGAGGACTGGGTAGCCACGCCCTCTCTCCGTGTGCACCAACACCAGCATCCAGTGGAAGATGGAAAGCGGAGGTCTGGGACAGCCACTGGGAGCCCATTCTCACTCCTGCCTGCCTGGGGCCAGCAGGTGAGGACTAGTTTGCCGTGCGGGAGCCCATGCAGTGCATCCCCGGCCCCCACTCTCAGATCTCCTGATTGTGCTAGTCTTTGGATCCACTCTGCAGAGGCAAAGATGGTCATAAAGGGCATTTTTCTGAGCTCCAAACCTTGAATATCTTCAAAGAAAGGGCAGAGGGAACCTGAAGCACAACTTTGCAGAGTTCAACCCTACTGGAGGTCAGGGAGCTCAATTTTGGCCTTGCAGGCCAAAATCAGCCTGAAACTCAGAGGTCAGCCATCACCACCTGAGATCAAAGGACTTAGTTCTGCACATGGCTGTACACATTGTATATTATGACAGCAGAGATATAGTCTAAAAGAGGCCCTTCAAAGTTTTTTCTTCTTCCTTTTCCTCATTCCACTTAGCAAATTCTTGTTTTTCTGTCCTCTTTTTCCAACTCAGTCTCTTGCTCCACCATATTATTCCTCATCTCCCTTTCTGTTCCTGTTCCTGCCCTGGCTTGGATTTCTTCTTTTATCATTTTTTTTCTTTATGTTCTTTTCTTTCCTCATTTTATTTCACTAAAGGGTCAATAGTTTCAAGGGAAAGTGAGCCCCTATTCCTGTTAAGTGGTTATATTCTTGTCCTTATTGTTGCACTCTGTCTTTCCCTTTTGACTTTAACAGTTTCCTAAAGGTTGTATGGTCATCCTATGTTTCTGGTTTCACTTAAAACCTTCTCCAATTCTTTTACTTATCTATTCCTCTCGTCCTAACTCTGTCTAAGCTCCCATCCTAAATTGTAAAGATGCTATATGGAAGAGTTTATTAACTGCAAACATATTCTGGTTTGCTTCTTGATTTTACTTTAATTCACTTGGTAAAGGTGACATATTAATGACTAACACAAAGAGTCAATCTGTAAGTTGTGCTTGATCTTACTGTGTTGTTGATTGTATCAACTGGGCTAAAGGTTTGTGAATGATTTAATGAGTTATCTTCTCTGATCTAAAGAAAATGAGAATGTCTATGAGTTATTAGAGATTCAAAAGCTAAAGCGCAACTATATCAGGAAGATTTAAGTAATAAGCTAGGAATTAAACCAAGGACAAGCCAACAACAAAAATAAAAATGAGAAAACACTTAAGCAAGACACAAAGACAGACTTTTAGTTCAGCAATGACAAACAGTAGGGAAAATGAGGGTGGAAAGTCGACAGTGAACCACCAGGACACCTGAAACTCATAGCACAGGAAGTAACAAAACCGATCTACAAAAATTCAAAAGAGAAATAATTTCCCAGATAACCACAGAGATGTTGAGCAAAATGAAGTCGTGATTCGAGACTCTAGAACAGAAACTGATCAAAAAAAAAAAAAAAAAGATGAGATCTGGACCATGACATAAGCCAGGAAGGCCCAGAATAAGAAAGAAATGGAAACAATGAATGCCCAACAAAGGAAAGAAATGGGATCCATGAAACAGATTCAAACAGATATCCAGGAGTTTAAAAACTCTATTGAAAGTGTTCGCAGCAGGATAAAAGAATGTGAAGAGAGAATCTCAGATATAGAACATAGGATTGTAGTCAGTGACCATGAAAAGAGAAGTCTCGTAAAATCAGTAAGGGATCATGAGAAATCGACCCAACAACTCCTAGATGATACAAAGAAGAATAACATAAGACTGATAGAAGTTCAAGAAGTAGCAGGAGAAAATACAAATGACTTAAAAAAGCTCTCCACACAATTAATGACAGAAAACTCCACAGAGGGAAAAAATTTGGCATAAAGATAAATGAGGCATATAGAATTCAAACTAGACACGATTTAAAAAAAAAAATCTACACCTAGACATATAATAATCAGGATCCCAGAAACCCAACAGAAAAACAAAATACTACAAGCAGTAAGAGAAAAGAAACAAATCACAGGTAAAGGAAAGCCCATCAGAATCACAGCAGACTTTTCAACACAAACCCTCAGGTCAGAAGAGCCTAGAGTGAGGTATTTCAAGTCCTAAAAGAAAACAACCTCCAAACCAGACTGATGTATCCTGCAAAACTCTCTTTTACAATGAATGGAGAAATAAGATACTTCCATGACAAAGAACACCAGAATAACTGAGAAACTTCATAAATGCCAAACCAGCACTACAAGTAATTCTAAACAATATCCTAGAATAAGACAATAAAAGTCACAACACCATGAGACCCAACAGAGCAAATCAAAAAGGCAAGGCAAGAAACTAAAAGGAGAGGGGGAAAAATTAAAAAGAGTCAACGAAAGGACAATAACATGACAATAATAAGTCAGTACATATCAGTTATAACCA